AAACATTGTGTATGGGTCATCGAAACAAAATGTGAGAGACGAGAGCCTGAGAGAGATATATGAAGCTAGACAATCGTTCATCATCGATCATAACGAGGTTGCTATATCGCCCTAACCAAGAAAAAGGAAGGCAGGCGGATACAGACAATAAGAGAAAGCTTCACAATGGTTCTCAGTCGTCGCTTTTGATGTCTTTCCGATCTATGTTTATATCGTCGTTATTGAGAAATCCCATTCATGCCCAGAAATGCGGGAGAGAATGCCGTGAAACAACTTGACGAGCGGAGTAAGAAAGAATGGGAGAAAGGCGGTGGGGATGTGGAGCAAGCGGATGGAAGTGGAAAAAGTACAAGGCTCAAGAGCGGCGCGACCAACAAAATCACATGCGGAAAACTTTCGACAAGCGAAATAAACAAAAAATATAAGCTCAGGAAATGTCTAGAGATGTTGCGGTCGTAAGAGAAACCAAACCATGTAAGGAAGGGAAAGCGTGAAGGGAATTCATCGCTGCAACGTCGTGTGATCGGGTCATGAATTATGGATGTTTGCGCATTTCGGAATTGCATTTTGTATATCTTGGATGTTGGGCAAGGATATATTCGTGTTGCATACATAACTTCTTCGAGGTCCTTTCCGATATGCTACTGGTGTTTCTCACCGACAAGCGTAAGGATTTAAGAGGGTTTTGGACCGGAAGCGGCGCTTACGACAAACCCCCTATCATGGGCCGCCGGCGGCGGTTTCAGCCGTTATGAACGGAATACAGCGGTTTCGGCAGCTTCGAGACGACCACGACGTTTCAGAGGCTGCAGCACTATTTATCAGGACATTGTGTTAATTATCCTTAGAACCCAGGTTGTGCCACTCAAAACGCAGCTTGGGAGGAAAAACCACCGACATGTGAAATGAAGGTTACGTTTTCTCCAGATTTCGGCCTGGTAGAACTGGGCGCAAGGGTTCCCTTTCATCGGACTGGGTTTTCTGGCCGCCTGGCTGTATATATGTGCAGAAGATTGAACGCCCGGAGGCGCTTATCAAACGCCTGCGCTCGAGCTTCCTGGGCTAATGAATCAATTTGTTCAAGAGAAAAACCTTTTACACGGCTGAGGGGCCCGAGTATGAGTGCATATGTGCTATCCGTAAAAGCAAAATTATGCCACTTCCCAACCTCCTTCTCGTACTTGTCATCCGGCCATGTGTTTAGCGGCAGGCCAAACATCAAGTGCTTTATATCCACGAACCCTGCCTCCTTCAACATATGCGTTGTGCTGCGGTTATGTGCGATCGGGCCGATTGGCCTGATCTGTTGCGTCCTTCAGATTCAAATACCACCGATTCAACGGCTGATCGGCTGGGAACTCATCATGGCATCGCGGGTTCGAAGTCGATTTCCACCTGTTCGAAGTATCCTTTGCCAGGCCGCAGATGTCGTATAACCTTTTGATACAAATTGGGCCAATTCGACACACTTCCGCATCCCATTTGGAGATGAATCATATCCCAAGAATTCTCCCCCAAAAACCAAGGGCTTTCATAATCCCGAGGTGTCTGAAAGTCGCAATTAGGTGGGTGCTCGTGGGGCTGCATCGCCGCCAGATCGATTCCCAACACGTACGCATGTGGGTACCTTGACGCCATTTCCACTGCCCACATTCCCGTTCCACAGCCAAGATCCAGTATTCGGGGGCCGTGATCGGTACCTATTGCCGGGCCTCCCGCAGCATTGCTCATAATCGGAGATGGTTTGCTGCTGATTGGAACATCGTGGAGCGCATTCCCACGAGCCACTAAAAATACCTTGTGGAAAATATCCAGACGATCTCGCTCCAGTTCATCACACGGATACATATATATGCCGCGCCGAAATCCATGATACAGTCGTCCATTCTCCTCGTAGCAAGGATATTCTTCCGTATGCCTGCGTTGATTGGAACATATTGTCAGGAATGGACAAACAGTCAATCCTATATTCCCATTGGGGGAAATTGAGAAACGATTTACGAGTACGATGCCCCAAGGAGGTTTTGGTAATGGAAAGGGAGTGGCTTGCAGGCAGTGGGTTCTAGGAGAAAAATGGCATATGGAGAAGAGGAACAATAAACTTACGTAGGGTTTGCACTTCCATGTGTCTCGTTTTTTGGAGAGCCAAAGCCAGATTTTGTTTGAGGTTGCCTTCGCGGTGCAAGATCGGTGAGCGCTGAGAGGTCCATAGTAGTTGACTAGGGTGGATGCCACCCAATGGGGGATGAAGACGACAGTTTAAATGCGAACTTTGGGTTGCTTCCGATGCCAGCGAACGACAAGATAGGGAGGGAACGGAAAGGAAGGAGGCGGGAGAGGAAGACGGGGAGGACGAGAACGAGGACCAGGACCAGGATGGAGACGGGCTGCGTAGAAGCTGGGGCAGCGATTTGAGGAGAAGACGCAGATCAGCCCTGGGGATATGTTACTGCAGGTTGGCCTTTATTCCAAGCGGCACACGGGTGATATTATTTACTATCGGCGACGTCTCGAGGAGGGCGTCAGGCAGAGGGGCAGCTGTTCGCAACAGCGCTGGGGGCAAGGACAGTGGACGGACGTGGGCAGAAGCAAAAGAAAAAAATAAGTAGAAGGGAAGCCGAGGGCTAAAATGCCAATTGAACGGTCCTTGGGCGCTTGGGCGGCGGGCAGTGGCTGGCGGGAAGGGTGGTCCCATCACATCGCCTGGAGGTTGTTGCGCCGAGAAGGTGGGATGGTCCGTATGATTCGGTACGGCGGACTCTGCGGCGCGTGGTATGGTATGGTACGGTACGGTACGGTATCGTATGGGTAAGCGGTATCGGCGTAGATCGCTTTTTGCCAGACCAAAGGTCAAGACAATTCATGGGGACCTGGCCATTTCTTGACAATTCACAAACAAAAATAAAAAATACAAATTGACAAGGGGGATTTGGCAAGAGGCAAACTGATGGGGCCTGTGAACTGAATGATTGAAATTCCTGACTGATGATTTGTTGGTGGTGGAATTGCCCCGAATCAATTATTAAACTCTGCCTGGAGGTGAAAACCCATCATTAAGAAAACAAAACAGTCAACAGCAGGGGTAAGCTGAAGAGACAATAAAAAGTAAAATGATGACCCAATCAGTGGCAGCATATAATTTGTCAATCACTTCCATGCTCACCTCCATCCATTATCAACAAACAAGCTTGAGTGCTAGACAAGGGAGGATGAACTGCAGCTGCTCACTTAACCGAGGTTTTCAGCTTGAGTACGCAGTAGTTTGCTAATGGCATGGAATATAATGTATGCCCTGTAACTCACCTCCTTGCAACAACACCAACAACTTCAATAGTGGATATGCATCATGGTGCCTCGTGAATGGTATCGAGTTTATTAATATGGCTATTTAGGTTGCTCTTCGTAGTATCAACCCTTCGTTTTCCAGGCAAAGTAAAAGCAACGAAAACGAGAGATAAAAACGAAATAAAACCGTGACTCCATTAATGGGAATGTGCAACCATAAAAAGATCCCGTAAAACAAGGTCACATGCGAACTGGAGGCGGTGACCCCATCCCGGCAGAGTGGTTATCGGTCGGAGCTTGTACAGTAATGTCACACCCTTTCTTGGCTTCTTGCTAGTACCGTATATTTAATGATCATAGTATTTTAACTCTGGAAAGGATGCTCGGGGTCTTCGGGGATGGTTGTATTTGTCAACCCGTTGACAGGCTAAACCCTCTCGCTCAAGTGCGCTCTGTGCAGTATGAACCTGGGAAACCTACTCCAACATGCTGAGCACTGCGTCGGCGCACAAATTTCGCCAAAATCCTCACAGAAAATCCGAAATGTTGTGACATAGTTAAGTTGTGCGCA